CAGCGAACGAGCAGTAGGGTCCATCAAATGTAAAAGTCCATTGTTAACAAAATAAGGCTGAGCCCTTCGAAACTGGTCATAAAAGCAATTCCCAGTGTGTGGGATGCGGCTTGTAAAGCCTTTGCCCAGCTTGGGGCTGACCCTGACCTTGATCTTGGAGCAGCGTCACAGGAAAAGTCTCCACATGAGAATTCCCAGTTGCTGGTGTGCGTGAGGAGCGTCCCAGCTCTCCTCCACCTCCTGCCTCTTTCCAGCCCCATCAATGTTCCCGTTGTTTCTCCCCGGGAAGGAGCAGAGTTCAGTCTCCGTGCGGCCGAGGGAATCTCTGTGCGGTCCTGCAACATCTCGGTCTTGCCCAGGACGCTGGTGATCTTCAGGATTTGACTGAAGGCATCAGTCTAGCTTTGGGGGTGCAGAGTTTATCGTGTCAGGGAACTGTCTCCCCCTGCAAAATCCAGATGTGTGGTGATCAGCAGCAATGTTGAGCCACCGGGGTTGTTTCTCAGTGGTACATGCTCAAGCATCTCTGCAGGGGTGCCTATAAATTCGGATGTCAATGGAAACCCCGAGTGCTTCTCTCTGGGAGGCTCCGTGTTCCTTGTGCAGTGTTGCAAACCCTGTTCCAGTCAGAGAAACGGCTTCAAACGCTCTATTTGCTTTTTTGGGGTTTTTTTTCCCTATCATGCTAATGCTGCTCTGCAGCAAACTGAGGTCAGAGTCTTCACCCCCCAGGGATTTTTTTGTAACAAAATACACATGGGTTATGGGTCTAAGTTTGGAGCCTCTTTCTCAACACCAAAAGGTTATTTCTTTGAATTAAATAAAAAAAGTCCTTGATGGTATTTTACCAAAGTTGCAGGGATTTTACAAAAAAATTTAAAAGTCTTTTTTTTTTTTTTTTTCCACCCTTTACTCCCTCAGAATCTCAGGAAAGCCTGGAGAGGTCTGAGAAGCGGAGGGAAAGGTGGGAACAGAAGCAGCACAGGAAGAGAAGAATAAAGCAGCGCTCCATCAGCAAGGAGAAGTGGGTGGAAACGCTGGTGGTGGCAGACACCAAGATGATCGAATACCACGGGAGCGAGAACATAGAGAAGTACGTGCTGACCGTGATGAACATGGTGAGTCCTGGTCCTTTCAAACCACCAGGTCCCTGGGGATGTGGCTGTGAGACATCAAGACCACTGGGCTTGCCAGGACTTGTCCCTGGTGGGACCTCAGCAAACTTCTCACCAATTGGGCTGTTCCCACCCACACCTTGGCTTTTCTGCTCCATGCTCCATCCACTGTGGGAGGACGGGTTGGTGTGAGCAAAGCCCAGACCAAAATCTCCACGGAGGCGGGAGCAGCTTGGCCTGAAGCCGTTTCACCTTCCCCATGGGCTGAAGGGCTGTTCCCTTCTCCTTCCCACCGTGCGGATGGGTGATGTGGCCTCCCCGAGTGATACCCCCAGGGCAGGGCTGCTCCTCCTGCACCCCTGCTCCAGGGAGGGGAGGTGGTGGGTGCTGCCCATGGCCATGGCACCACCACCACAGCTCTCCCTGGGCAGGCGTGCGGGCAGTTTGGGCATGGAGGTGCAGCTGAAGCCATCCCCAAAGCCTGCATGAGGGCCACCCACTGTCCTCTGCATGTTAAAGAAGCCTTCTCGCAGGAGGAGAGACCCGCAGGGACCTGGGAGCTTTGTCTCAGCCTCCATCAACCTTGGCTTGAAAGTGGCAGAGGGGAGATGGAGACGAGATGTGAGGAAGAAATTCTTTGGTGTGAGGGTGGTGAGACAGTGTCCCAGGTTGGCCAGAGAAGCTGTGGCTGCTCCTCCCTGGAAGTGTTCTCGGCCAGGCTGGATGAGGCTTTGAGCGACCTGGTCTAGTGGAAGGTGTCCCTGCTGCTGGCAGGGGGGGTGGAACTGGGTGAGCTTTCAGGTCCCTTCCAACCTATATGATTCTATGATTCAATGATCAGATTGTGGTGGTCTTCACTGGGCATCCAGGGGGGTTCCCTAGCACCAGAAAACCAGCAGATAAGTCAGTGTGAGTTGGTTTAGTCTGTTTGCTCTTCTGCTGCCATGGTTGCACCTATTTGCATTTCAGGAGGCAGCTTTGGTTGATGGCCAGAGAAGAGGGTGGGTTTGGGCAGAGGACTTCAGGGTAACCTGCCTGGGTTTTGGGGTGTTGGTGAAGGCACCCAGAGAGCACAGGCTTCCTTTGAGATGTTAAACACATCTATGAGGTGTGAAAGCAGAGATGTTCCCGCAGGCACTTCTGGTTGAGTTTCAATGTGCTATACAGATTATATCTATTTTAAATGGTTGTCATTGCTATAGTCCAGGTCTGCACTGATCTTGTCTTTAATTTGGGGGAATTCCCTGAGATGTTGTCAGCAACCTTCAGTAGCTTCCCCTGGAGCTCCTCTGCCCCTGCAGATGTTCTCACCAGCAGCAGTGTCCCAGGGCAAGGACTTTCAGGCTTTATTTCTTTAGCTTTTGCCTGTTGCAGGTGGCGGGTCTGTTCCACCACCCCAGCATTGGGAACCCCATCAACATCGCGATCGTGCGACTCATCCTGCTGGAGGAGGAGGAGGTAAAAAGAAAACAGGGGGATACACCCTGCCCTCCTGGTAGCCGGGCTGGGACACATGGAGAGCTGGGTTGGGACACATGAGGAGTTGTGTTGGGACATGGGGAGCTGGGCTGGGACACGAGGAGCTGAGTTAGGACATGAGAAGTTGGGTTGGGACATGGGGAGCTGGGCTGGGACACGAGGAGCTGAGTTAGGACATGAGGAGTTGGATTGGGACATGGGGAGCTGAGTTAGGACGTGAGGAGTTGGGTTGGGACATGGGGAGCTGACCTTGAGAGCCTGTAAGCTTTCTTTTGAGCTGTTTTCATGCCCTGGATGAATTTGCATGAGATAATCACCCATGTCTTGCTTCCTTGTCTTCTGCCTGGGCTGCAGCCCTGGTAGAGTCAGGTGGACAGTGTGGTTGGAGGAGCTGCAGAATCTCACTCTTATAATAATTTCTGATAACTCAGCGTTGCTGCTGGTCACAGAGGGCTGTGAAAGCTGCAGCCGTGGCTCTCAGGGAGCCTGACGCCGCTCTGACGGGCTCCCCAGCTGCGACCTTCACCATCACCCAGGGTGGGATGTTTTCCCACAGTGTTTCTTAACCCCCATTCCTGGATGATTTAATGTTTTGGTTGAATCACAAATGAAAAGAAAGCAGAAAAGGATTCCCACCAGTCTATGACCTATAAATATGGAGCAATTCCATCTGGATGGCAGTTACTCCTGATTTCACTCTGATGTGTCAGAGATCAGACCCTTCCCTACTGCATCCTAAAAACCAAACAGATCCAGCAGCAATATGACTTCTAATTATGTTGGCAGGAGGACCTGAAAATCTCCCACCATGCAGACAACACCTTGAGAAGCTTTTGTAAATGGCAGAAGAGCATCAATGTTAAAGGAGATTCCCATCCTCTCCACCATGACGTTGCGGTCCTGCTCACAAGGTATTGTGCCCACGTGCTGATTTTATGCTGTAGGTGCTACACTGGTGGCTAGAAACTCCTCTGCCAGCTGCAGGCAGTGGGGCAGCCAGAGGAACATCTCAGTGGGAGTGGCTGAAATCTCGCTCTCCATGCCTGAGCCCTGCCTTGATGCCTGCACATAAGATATGTAACATGAAATCTGGAGATAACCTGGTCCTAATGGCTGGAATGGGTCTCAAATCTCAGGTTGAAACCCAGAGACAGCTCCTAGTTGACTAGGAGCTGAGGTTTCCAAACCAAGTGTTCACCATGGCCCTGTTGCCAAGCTCCAGAATGGTTAGCTCCTCCCAGGAGATGTACACAGGGATTAACTCTCCTTTTTCCCTTGGAGGCTGATGCTGGGGTTGGCAGAGGAGCTTCTGGGAAGGCCCCTGACCTCCCATGGAGCTTTCAAGAGTTCATGCCTCTGGCCAAGTTCACGTACCTTGCAGTCCAAACGTAGTTTGATGATTTCAGGCTGCAGCAGCCTGGCTGTTGGCAGTATCGTGGTGGTTTGTGTGATGATTCACAACCCACAACAGTGTGATCTTCTGGAGGAAGTTTGCTTTGTAGCAGAAATAAGGCACCTCGGGCCATGTACTTCAATGGAGTTGTTTTTCATGGGTGGCTGGGGCTCCTCTGCCCTGGACCACAGCACCCTTGGGATGTGCTTCCACAGGCAATGTGGTAATCGTAGAATCATAGAAAGTTGTGTGTTGGAAGGGGTCCACAAGGATCATCAAGTCCAACTCCTGCACAGGACAATCCCAAGATTCAGCCCATGTCCCTGAGGGCCTTGGCCAAATGCTGCTGCAATCTCGTCAGGCTTGGTGCCATCAGCACCTCCCTGGGGAGCCTGTTCCAGTGCTCCACCACCCTCTGGGTGCCTCAAGAACCTTTTCCTCATGGCCAACCTCACCCTCCCCTGGCACATCTTCCTGGCCTAATTATTCCCAGCATCAGCTTTATTTACACAAAGGAATAACGTGGCCAGGCTGGCCAGCGGCTCCCATTAATCAAGCTTAGTAATAAGCCAGGGATACTGGGAGAGGAAAGGGGAGAGGAAAGGTCGTAAATCTTTCCGTTGTGGAAAGACATTGGATGTCTCCATTCTCGCTTCTGTTTGGCCACTGTCTGTGTGTCGTCTTCTGTGGGCTGGGACATGTCCCCTGCTCTTTCCCACACCTCACGTTGGGTCCTGCCGCTTTCAAGCCCCCTCTTTGCTCTGTGTCTGTGTGTTTGTTGTCCTCGTCACCCCAGGAAGGACATCTGCGCAGCGATGAACAGACCCTGCGAGACCCTGGGTCTGTCCCATGTGGCAGGGATGTGCCAACCCCACCGGAGCTGCAACATCAACGAGGACACGGGACTGCCCCTGGCCTTCACCGTGGCCCATGAGCTCGGACACAGGTACCACCAGCTTTCTCCTCCTCTCCTCTGACCTCTGCGCTGCTCGGTCAGGGCTTGAGAAGGCACGGGTGGAAGTTGGGAGAAGCGGTTCCTCTCTGGTGCAAACCTTCCTCTGCACCCAGGAGAACTTACCCTGGGCATTTCATTTTGGAGTTCAGTTTCTGGTTGCCTCAGGTTTAATGAAAGTCACATCATCCAAGGCAACCAGGACAAGTTGCATTTGTGTATTATCCCGCGTTGCTGATGCTGAAGGTTTTGGAGAAAAGGGTTGTTTGTCAGTGAGGGGTTGGACTAGATGATCTCCTGAGGTCCCTTCCAACCACTACAGCTCTGTGATTAATAAGTTTTAAAATAGGATCTGTGTGTAGAATCAGCAACAGAATTTTGCTTGCCCTAATGTCAGTTAAATTTTGACAAGATCACTTGAACATCACAGTTGATAGTAGATGTCTTTGTACGCTAAAAACACTTACCCAGTAAGTTTAATTAACTTGGTCTTGTTCTGTAGCCTCATTAATTTTTCTTGGCTGAGTTTTCAGTAAGAAAGGTGAAATAAAAGCCTGGGGGACAGTTCAGGGCAGTGTCCCTGGTGTCACTAAAATGTCCCCACAGCCAGATCCCCCAGTGCCCGTTAATGGGCTGGTTTGTGGTGTCCGGCGTCGCGTGTCGTTGTGCTGGAAAGCAGAGAGGCTGCGCGGTTGTAGCGGCGTGCGGCTCACCTCTCCTTTGTGGGACTGTGCTCTTACACAGTTTTGGGATTCAGCATGATGGAAGCAGCAATGACTGTGAGCCAGTTGGGAAAAGACCTTTCATCATGTCTCCACAGCTCCTGTATGACACGTCCCCACTCACCTGGTCCCGCTGCAGCCGGGAGTACATCACACGCTTCCTCGAGTAAGTCCTTCCTTCCTCTTCTTCCTTGCTGGTGGGGTGCTGGGGGTGGCTTGGAGCTTGGTTCTTCAGCCAGGGATGGACCCAGCTGATGGCTAGGTTGTCCCCAGGGCGTGGGGGGATGTTTTTATCTTGCTCAGCTACCTCGGTCGTAGAATCTTTGAATGGTTTAGGTTGGAAGGGACCTGAAAGCTCATCCAGTCCCAACCCCCCTGCCATCAGCAGGGACACCTTCCACTAGACA